GGGATGAAATGGCTGCTCCGCCCCGCAGCGCCCCTCGCCCCCCTTACTCGAGGTAACGCGGGGTGCGCGGTGCCCTCCCGTTCCGAGCACCGAGCGCGTCCCGGACTCGTGCCGCGGAAGGCGGCTGTGGGTCACGCACCGTGTGCTGCGTGGCCGTTACCGCCTGTGGTGGGGGCGAATTGCGGGGCCTGAAATACCGAAGGGGCTTTGTGGTTCGTTGAGACTCCAGGAGCTCACAGAATTCTTCCCGCGACGCGGCGGGCGGGGCCGTGGCGGCATCGTGCAGCGAGGGGCCGGGAACAGCAGGCGGCACTGCTGGATAAAATAAAGCAAAAGAATTTTTCAAAGAATGTACCGGGAGCCGCTTGTGCTCATCCTGCAGCAGCTCTTTGTTCTCCAAGGGGAAGTAAAAAGCTCGGGGTTTTATCCTGGTTCTCTGAGGAGCGCTGGGGCCCACCAGCACGTGCTCCAGCAGCACGTATGGATGCAGGGCGAGGTGCAGTCAGATGTGCTTTGGGCCTGCGGCGTTCCTGTGGGAGCTGTGATGCTGAGGGTGTGCTGGACTGGGCCCTGTTTTCAAGGCTGCTAGCTGCCCGTGCCTGGAAACGCAGGAAACTCTCCCCCGCTGCTGGCTGCAGTCACGCCGTTCAGTTAATAGTGAATCCATTCACTTCGACTAGGCTCTCTTAGCCTTTGCTCAAACTATGGGTGCTCCAGTCCCTTAATCATCATTGTGGCCCTTCAATTGACTTTTTTGTCCTGGAGTGCCCAAAACTGGGCACAAAAATGTGGTCCAACTTCACAAATCCCCTTGGCTTTTAGTTATCGGGACTACTGTAAGGAACGTGTTCCCTGGAAGTGGGCAAAGGCAGTGCATTCTAGGCCCCACGTTCATCTTCTTCATTGCTTTTTATGACTGAGTGTTAATCCCTTCAGAGCATCCCTTCCTTGTTAAACTATTGTGTCAGCTTTTCTCATCAGTGCCCCCTTAATACTATCTACATACTCTGGAACCATTACCTTCTACTAGATGTGTTTTGCTGCTCCCATTCCTTCCCTGTTCCTTGAAATGTGCCAATCCTGTTATACGCTGCCTCAGCAATACATGTGAAAGTGACTTGGGATATTTGCCAGTCATCTTTGGCTTGTGAACTTCTCATTCACATGTTTCTGGTCTCTATTTGCTTGTTGTCAATATCTGTTGGAGTCTGGCATTTGCTTTCCTAGCTAGTGAATCCGGAGATGGCCCCGACAGGGCCTTCTTAGGCAGAAAAAGGACTTTCTTTTCCTTAACTGCTCAGTAGTTTGTAAGTTTGCTCTTCCAGCATCAGTAAGTTAGTAATGCTGGTGGCTTCACTTGCTATAGCTACGTTGTTTGAAGAGCCTCAGAGAGTGGATCTGTATTTCTAATTGTTGATACCAGTGATGTAACTTCAAATTTGGAACTTTAGTATAGGTCCTCCTTACTTACAGGAGGCAAAACCATTTGAAAATCAGTCAATTGCTCTTCATTATATTGTTGCATCTCACCACTATCTAGAAAATGAAGTTGAGCCATTCAAGAAACTATCTGTAAAGATTGTAGCCTAACAAAGTTTACTAGGGCTCTGCCAGGGCTGACAAAAGGGGATGTGCTACACATATTAGGAAGACGGTTCCTTCCTCCACTCGTTTTCCTCATGCCTAGTGCTCTGGAAATGAATATGGCCGCGCAGAAGTGAACTCTCCTTCTCATTCTGTGGGGCCCACAGTGGTTTTAGTCTAGTGGTCCCTTCATCTATGGTTTTAATTCTACTGAAACCAAAGAGACACACCAGCAGATAAATTAGTGCAGTAACTCATTGCTTTGTCAACATCCTCTAATGGAAAAAAGAAACACCAAATGACTTTACTTAGACCCTTAGCTGGTTATCTGCTGTCCTTCCTTCCTGACTCTGTAGTGAAAGACAAGTGGGTGATATTTTGCACATTCACAGGCCGTAGGCTTCAGTGTTTGAGAAAAAGTCTTTCAGCTCAATAGCACATATTCTAGTAAAGCATCTAACCTGCAGGCAGGGTTGGTCATGTTTATCTGTGTCTGTAGCATTGATTTGAGGCTAACTTGTTTGAAAATGCCAGATGGAAAAGGTCGCACTTTTATTACTGTAAGTATTAATTGCTTTTGTTTTATTAACTTCCTAGGCTGGATTTACAATGGACAGAGTGCTTTGCAAATGAAAGTGCATTATTTTTCATTGTATTATTGCATTGCACTCTTATCTGGAGAGTAAAATACTCCTTTCAAGGTGTAACAAGCTGTAATTTCATTGAAGACTCTCTAGTATTCCTGCACACGAGCACAGTTGTAACAGTTTATTCCCGGGAGCCAGAAGGTCAAATTACTGGCCCTCCAATACCCAACTGGAGATACATTATAGCTCCGATGTATCTCGGCCGGAAGCGTTTGGGTGTGCTGAAATTGGGTGGGTTGTACCCTTTAAAGACATTCCAAGCTGTTGTAGCCATTTGGAGCATCACTGTCCTTTCCTGCTACTTTAACGCAAGAAGAAGAGAGCCAAGAGGCTGTTTGGCAATGAAAGGGTTGTTTTCTCCCATGCCTTGGGAAACTGTGCTCTGCTGTGTGAGCCACTAGGAGTCATTCTGCAGCTGAAGGTGGCTTAGTGGTTTATTGAAAGTCTGTTTACTTCCAGCACGGGGCAGTAATCTCATTGCAATGCAGTGAGCACTTCATATTTTGCAGCATGCTTCTTTGCAGCCGGGTGCACTTCATCCTCCCCATAGCCTGCAGATGCCATGTGTACGCTGGTGGGTTTGAGATGCGGTGCCCAGCCCAGCCTGAAGTGCAGGAATGTTGTGCTACGTGGAGCTTGGCTGAAACATCAACAGTTGTCGCAGCAATGCTGTGATGTGATGTGGCATGGCACTGTCTGCAGCAGTTTCTGGGGTTTTGTGAGTTGCCCGTACATCTATGTAGTCATCAGTGACTCCAAGTCAGGAGCCATTCCTGCAGAAATTCAAAGCAAAGCTCTGTTACCATTCCCAGACTTCTGGCATTTAGCCTGAAAGATTTCCATGGAAGCACTTTACTGCCTGCTGGTTCTTGGCCCTAAAATCCTGCTTGCGTTTTGTGATTTAGTATTTTAATTAAAATGACTCAATTGATTTTAAAGGGAAATTATTCCAACTGACTTCTGAGGAAAACGAGGCTTAATTTTTACCCTTCTAAATTGCTTCCAGCAGTGGCTGTTTTATCAGGGCACTTTCTGTTGTTACTTCCATCACCGTCACATTGCAGCTCACAAGAGAAAGCCCTCCAGCTTCTCTGTAGAACGGAATCATACCGGGCGGAATCGGTGCTCACAGCGCGGCAGCACGGGGAGATCCGCGGCAGCAGACGCGGCGCTGCGGTGCGGTTCGGTTCGGTTCGGTTCGGTTCGGTTCGGTTCGGTTCGGTTCGGTTCGGCGGTGCCGCGCACTCCCGGCTCTCAGCGCGGGGCCTCTCCAGGAGGCTCGCGACAAAGCACGTGACTCACGCAGCATCTGGGGGCGGGGTCGATGTGGGCGGGGCCTCGCGCGTCTCTACGCCTCCAACGGCGACGGCGCTGCGCGCTGACGTCGCGCGGCCCGGGTGAACGTTGCGGCGGCGCGCGGGGATGGAGCGGCTATCGGCGGTGCGGTGGGGGCGCCTCGCTCGGCGGTGGGTGACCTGCGGGCGGCGCCGCCGTCGCTCCCCGGGGCCGCGTGGCGGGGCCGATCTCCGCGGGCCGGGCCGGGCCGGGCCGGGCCGGGCGCCGAAGCCTCCTCCGGCTCCGCCGCTCGGCCGCCCATTCGCGTCGCCGCCGCCGCCTCGCGGCCGGCCGGGTCCTCCCCGGCTCCTGCCCGCGGGAGCTCGGCGGGGGCGGCGCGGCGGGGGAGCGGTGCGGGAGGGCCCTGGCCGGAGCGTCGCGCGTCGCTCCCGGCCTCGCTGTGCGTGTGGGCAGCCGGAGGCGCGGGGCGGCCGAGCGGAGCCCGCGCGTGGGGGCGCGCTGTGCGCGGTGGGGGCGCAGCGTTGCGGAGGAGCCGAGGAGCTGAAGGCCGCCCGCAGCCCCGCTCCGCTACTTCACCCGCCGGTCCCGCGCTGTGCCGTCCGGGGCGGGATGCCCCGTGGCCGCTCGTTCTGTGCACGTCCACTGAGCTGTGCCGTGGGTGCGGGAATCTGCTCGGCGTGCGGTGGGCTGAGGAATACGTTGAGGCCAGTGTATTTCAGAACCAGCAAACAAAAGGAAAACAAACGTTTTCTTGTGTGCTCCCTGCCATGCGTATCCCATACAATTGTTTGTTTTTTGTGGGCTTTTGGCTTTTTGTTGTTTTTTGTTTTTTTTTTTCCCCGGGAAGCTTTCTCGTTTGAGCTTTGTCAGCGTCTTATTTGGTCATAGTTAAAGGTGCAGTGACCAAAGGCAGCACTAATCCAGGTGCACCCATGGCTCTGTAGCTCCTTCCCTCTGCAGGTGTTGCTGCTGTGAGCTGCCTCTGCTCTCCTCACACTGTGAGCAGCGCTGGGATTTGTGCTGAGCGGGATGGTGGGAGCAGCGTGGTGTGTAGGGCTGGATTCACTGCTTGGGGATTCCTATAACAAACAGTAGGAATTAAGGATTTCTATTGTATCTCAGTCCAGTTTTTTAATGAATGAATGGTAGAACGACCATTCTAACTGCTGGCGTGTTCCTGTATGCTGAAATACAGGCACTCTGCAGTGTGATGTTATGCTGTGTGCTCCCTTATGGTCAAGCTTAACCCAGGTGCTCCAAGTGTTTTCTCTTTAAGTCATTAGGGTGCACTACTCAGAATAGGAGACAATACAAGAAACAGTCTCTTGACATTAAATGTGCCAAAGCTGACAGAAACTCACTGCTTCAAGTCAGAGTAGGTCCTTCTCTTTGAAGGAGATGGGTTTGCAGTGGTGTTTTGTTGCTGATCAGGTGTCAATGCTTTTTTCTTATGGTGCTTATTAATTTTGGCAGGTCTTTGTCCTTTATGAAGAAGCTGTGTTGCCAAGACTTGCTGTGAAGATGACCCACGCTACTGAATGCAGTTATCTGCAAATGTAGGAGCCAACAAATGCTATGTCCCACCCTCCCTTGACTTTCCTCTTTCTCATGGAATATATATTTCTAAAGTATTTCTAGATCTTTACTGAAGATGTTTGGATTATAGCTATGACCACATCTATGCAAAGGAGATGAGCAAGCCTGAGCAATGCTGAGGTATGTATACCTTTTGTATCTCATAACATATGGGTAATCAAAATGTGTTACTGAATTCAATAACAAATATGTTTGGAGAGTGATCCTGTGCAAGTCTGTTCAACAGTGGCAATGAACAAGGGCTTGAAATGTGCTGTCTGGGCAGAACACAAGTGATTGGGTCTTGGGCTCCCTACGTGCAGTAAGTGGCCAATGTGTGTTGGAGGAAGAGGAATGGTGGGAAGATGTGTAAGGAGAAAACCATCTTATTACAAAGAATTGGAGCATGCTACTTCTCTTTTGGTGTAAGTAGTCTGAAAGGTGAATTAGTGTACATTGGAGAAATGTTGCTGTAATGCTGTTCTGAAAGGTAACTAAAACATTTCAAGTATTTAAAAGGCTGAGATACAGAGCTGGGTGGTAGTGTCATTGGTCCAACTTAGGAGATGAGCTGTGATGGGAATTCTGCAGACACCTACGCTTACAGTTTCTTCAGAGAGAAATTTGGCAGATTTCAGTATTTCTCAGAGCTGCGTGTGCTGGTCGGTCTCCCTCAGTAAATTCCTTGGCCCAGTTTTTCATCCTGGAGCTGTTGGCTGTGATTTTCCTGGAGGTTAGTTGCCATAGAAATTATCCTGTTACAAATAAATATGCTTTTTATAATCTCTGGGTATGGTAATGGGGAGCAGAAAGACTGTTGGCCTTCCTGAGAGCAATAGAAGCTGCAGACCCATGGAGGCTTAATGTTGGTAAATCACCACCAGTAGGAGAGAGCTGAACAAGTGCCTGATTGCGTGGGTGAGTGGTGGCAGTGATGAATAGCATCATTTGGTCCCTGAGTAAAGAAAAGTGGTAGAGTTTACAGTGAGTCTGAGTAATAGTTAAGATTGGAGAAATGGAAAAGGAACAGCTTCTGTTCAGAGTCTGTTATGGTGGGACTTACTGACTCAGTGAAGTGAAAGCATTTTTGATGGAAAAGAACCTTTCTGAGGGATGTGGCCATTGTGATCCTATGTGGTGTGAGATTTGGGTGGAGATAACATCTAGATTCAGTCTTGAGCTAGTCCAGCAGCAGGGTTGTGGTGGGAAAGCTGAAAGCGGAAAAGACTGTGCAGGTGGGGAGGATCAGGCTAGGAAACATATAAGCAAGGCTATGGCACCTATTGAGATGCACCCATGAGAGTGGTAAGAACTGGCTGTTACTGCTGCAAAGCCACTGTTGGTTATCTGGGGGGGCTGTGCTGAGCAAGGAAGAAAGCAAGTTCCACCCATCCTCCAAAAGGAATCTTTTTAAGGAGAGAACCATGAGTGGGTCAGTCAGCTCACCTCTGTTCTGGGAAAGGAGATCAAATAAATAGCTAGAAACAGTTTAAACAAGCATGTTAAAAAACAAGAAGGTGATTATGTCTATTAGTCATTATGCCTAACCACCCTGGCAGCTTTCTACACAGAGATGACTGGCTTGGTAGATTTGTTTGGTTCAGCTTCGGTAGAGCTTTCAACTGTCTACCTTAACTTTCTCACAGGTAAACTGAGGAAATGCAAACTAGATATGTGAACACTGAGGTGGATGAGAAATGTTGAGGTTGTTTGCCATCCTACTTCTTGTCTGCTCATTTAATTGCTGTACTGCTGGTGAGAATTGTGATCAGTGGCGGGAAGGCCCAGCTGGAGGCCTGTTGCTAGTGGAGTTCTGCAGGGTTTGGCACTGTGTTCAATCCTGTTTAGCCTCTTCATTAATGACTTAAATGGTGAGGTTTTAGTGATGAAGTAATGTAAGCTACCAGTTTGACTTTAAAGAAAAACTAAATCATAGCAAAGTTGCTACTTTTTAACTCAGTCAGTGGAAAACTTTCACATAGCTGATTGCAAAAGCAGCTGAGTCAGTGGGAAAAGCATTGTGATTGTTCTGCACCAAATGGCTTGCTTTTAGAAAATAGAAGTTTTCAGGTCCATGCTGCTCAAAGATCAGAGAAGGAATGCTGGTTTTGAGTCACTGGGAGGAATATCTTACCAGTCTGTGCCAGATCAAGTCAGCTGTTCATCTTCCACAAGTCAGTGTGAATGTGATGCTTTCCAAAACCCAGGGAGAAGGACAAATGTTAGAATCACATGCAGCCTGCTTGCTGGTGGATCTCTTTCCTTGCAAGCCTACCGTTGTAACATGTATCAACCAGGCCTGTAACTCCAAGCCTGTGATAAAGCTTTGTTTGTAGAACTAGAGGTGTTAAATCTTGTCCTCTGTGCTGGCATTGTCACAGATGGATGTGCTGGGAGAAGCAAGGAGAGGCACTCTTTCTGACCCATTCTTTTGACTCAGTCTCTGTAGTGCCTGAAATAGCTGTGCTGTAACCTTTTATCTCCTCTTGGGAAGCAGGATGAAAATAGCTGTTTTTCCACTCTTTGTGGTTCACTTGTTCCTGACATTTGAGTCAGCTTTGACACGTAGTAGCAGCATCTCCTGGCAGAACGAAGGAGCGTCTCTGAACTTTCTCTACCACACCTCCTTTCTCTGGTGGAAAATGCTTGGCATGGCCCAGCAATGTATTCCTCCAGAGTGTGCAACATCTGATTGAGATAATGCCAATAGCAAGAGTGGGTAATAGGAGGGTAACTGGCCTCAGAAAGAGATACTTAAAGGAACTGACAACACCAAGCTGAGCGGTGCGGTCGACACGGTGGAAGGAAGGGATGCCATTCAGAGGGACCTCGACAGGCTGGAAAGGTGGACAGGGTGAACCTGGTGAGGTTCAACACGGCAAAGTGCAGAATTTTGCACATGGGCTGGAGGAATCCCAGGCATCCCTACAGACTGGAAGGAGCGGTGCTTGAGAGCAGCCCTGTGGAGAAGGACTGGGGGGTCTTGATAGATGAAAAGCTGAACATGAGCCAGCAGCGTGCTCTTGTGGCTCGGAAGGCAAATGGTGTCCTGGGCTCCATCAGCAGAGGGGTGGCCAGCAGGGACAGGGAGGTGATTGTCCCCCTCTGCTCTGCTCTGCTCTTGTGAGGCCCCATCTGCAGCGCTGCGTCCAAGTGTACAAGAAAATACAAGAAAGACAGGGAGCTGTTGGAGAGGGTCCAGAGGAGAGGCATGAAGATGAGCAGGGGGCTGCAGCACCTGCCCTACAAAGACAGGCTGAGGGAGCTGGGCTTGTTCAGCCTGGAGAAGAGAAGCTGCGGGGTGACCTCAGTGCAGTCTTCAGTACCTAAAGGGAGCCTGCAGACAGGAGGGGAATCAACTCTGTGAAAGGGTTGATAACTGCAGGACAGGGGGAAATGGTTTGAAGTTGAGGGAGGGGAGATTTAGATTGGACAGATTTAGATTGGACGTCAGGGGGAAACTTTACAGAGAGAGCGGTGAGGTGCTGGAGCAGCTGCCCAGAGAGGCTGTGATGCCCCGTCATCCCTGGAGGTGTTCAAGGCCAGGTTGGATGGGGCCCTGGGCAGCCTGGGATAGTATTAAATGTGGGGGTTGGTGCATGCAGCAGGGGGTTGGAGATTCATGATCCTTGAGGTCCCTTCCAACCCTGTGATTCTGTGAATGAAATCGGTTCCAGTGTATGAGCTTTTTGACAAGAGGGAAGCTAAAACAGTCTGTATTAGTCCTTTTCAAATTGCTCCTGTAAGTAATTCAGTATTTGCAGGGAGGCTCTCAGCATTGCGCTCAGTGCAGGCTTCGGCCTATGAAGGAAAACCTGGACATAGATGGTCTTCAACCACACTGATGCAACAGTTGCCTCTGCCACACTGAAATTGGAACTTTCTACCACTGTGTATCCCTTCAACAGAGAAAATTGATTATAACAACTTAAAGCAGTTCCTTTGGATACTGAACTGTGGCATACTTTGACAGGCAGTGCTTAAGGCTGCACTTTAAAGGGAATGTGTTTGCGAGTGCATGTTACTGTAGCAGATTTTTATTGTGGTGGTCCTTAATTTTGAGCTCTCTTCATTTCTAAGTTGAGAAGGGACCAGAAAACCAGTGGAGATGGCAATTTTGTGTTCTGTGCCTTTTCCTAAAGCTTCACACCTTAACTCCTGGCCTTCAATCATCCTGGGGCTCCAGCAGAGCTGAGTGCCCCTCTGGGGCTGTGTGCCTTGCACTGCTTTCACTATACTTGTCATCTCTTCCTTGCTGGAATGCTGAGAGACAAGGCATATATTACTTGTGTGCTATTTCATTTGTATGTTTTTTAATATGCAGATCCTGACTGTTCTTTTAATCAGTTGTAATATCTGGTTTCAAATAGTGAGCGTGTGCAGATATCTAATGAAGGAATGACTTTTTGCTAATGATAATATTAGCCAATGCCTCTCTTTTGTAATCTGGTTTATTTGTTCTTTGTTTTCATATCCCAAGCTCTCTTATTTTTTGAAAACTCACCATTTTAAATATTTTCTTAGTATTTCTTTACTCTTTCTCAAAAAGGAGAGTAGTTTCTTTATTTACAAAATGCAGTACTTGAATATCAGAAATTGTCATTGCTGGCGGTGCAGAGTCCGGTTGGAGGCCTGTAACCAGCGGTGTCCCCCAGGGGTCGGTGCTGGGTCCGGTCTTGTTCAACATCTTCATCAGTGACCTTGATGAGGGGATGGTGGCCACCCTCAGCAAGTTTGCTGATGATACGAAGTTGGGAGGATTGGCTGACAGCCTGAAGGCTGTGTTGCCATTCAGCAAGATCTGGACAGGCTGCGGAGCTGGGCAAAGAAAAACCAGATGAGGTTTAACAAAAGCAAGTGTGGAGTCTTGCATCTGGGGAGGAATAATTGCATGCACCAGTACAGGTTGGGAGATGAGCTGCTGGAGGGGAGCTCTGCAGAGAGGGACCTGGGTGTCCTGGTGGATGACAGGTTGGCCATGAGCCAGCAGTGCGCCCTTGTGGCCAAGAGGACCAATGGCATCCTGGGGTGCATTAAAAAGAGCGTGGCCAGCAGGTCGAGGGAGGTGATCCTCCCCCTCTGCTCTGCCCTCGTGAGGCCTCATCTGGAGCACTGTGTCCAGTTCTGGGCTCCCCAATACA